AGCTCAAAGAATCTATTTGGTCACAAAACGGACGCATCCAGCTCGTCAAAATTACCACACTTTCGACATGTCCTCGTCGACTCCATATCGATGCGAGGAAAAACTCGTTTGTTGTAAACCAGACGAACACGTCAATGAGTTGTCATTTTTCATACTTTCGCGCGGAATATTTCTTCGAGTTCACAGTGAGTTTTTCCAGGCAGCGCTCGAGCGCTCATACGGTAAGACGGCAAACTCCCCGGGCGATCGCCAGGATTGCTAATCTTTTTGAAACTGACTATAGTCCATGGACCCCGTCTAAAAAGTAAGAAATTAATTTAACGAAATGTGATAGCCGAAAATTAAAATTTCACACAAAACCTCACAATAATCACACACAGGATGAAAAGCGAGAAGACCTTTTCCCCTGGTGGTCCTCTTTCCTATTCATGCATTTTGTTATTATTATTACTATTATTATTTACTTTTATTTTACTAGGGTGTTTCTCACAGACCTATTGTCTTCTTACGTTGGCGCAGTACTCGTACAAGTCACCCGTGAAGTGTCAGACCAAGATGGACTCTTGGTCAGACTAAACAAGTGTTGAAAGCAGTATTTTTTTTAAACTAAGATCCTCAAGTGTTGTGATTATTGTGAGGTTTTGTGTGAAATTTTAATTTTCGGTTATCACATTTCAATAACCGACGAGGAGACAACAGTTGTAAAATAGCAATGAAAAATATCAATTGTGCACTCATAATCATATATAAACAATTAAAATGAAACAATTTCAGAACGTTTTCGTGTGACTATAATCAGTGGTCCAGTGGAACATCGTCACATAGTAAGAATCACTAAAACAACCAGTTATATTGCTAGAGTAATATGAAAAGAAGCGTGAGAATGCATGCAGCACTGCTAGCGGTTATGCATAACGCGTGTAGTGTGAACTTATGCAGGGTATCTGAGAATGGTAGCAGTAGATGAATGTGGCAGCTGTGAGTGCGTGTGGACAAAACTGGTGAGTGCGTATTATTTAAAAAGTGCTATGCAAGCAAAGGCAATTCTAACGTTGTAGCGTTGTTCTCTTGTAATTTAGTGGAACCTGTATTGAGTAACTGAGTTTTATGTTTCGTTACATTGTCGTCAGATCTCCTGTGTACCGGTTTTGTGGCACAATGATTATAGCCATTATATTTGGTCGTCTCCATTCTTGTGCAATCATGCATATGTAGGTTGGTTCTCTTCATGTTATTGTGACCAATTTCATAGATGTTGGTTGCCTTGTTGCTTTCTCTCCCCTCTCCTCTCACCCAAGCCATTCTGCATAAGCGAAGCTGTGGACGCAGCATACTGCTGCTACACTTCAACGCGGGAATGCGTGTAATAATAATGCAAACAAAAAGAAAATGTTGTAGCACTCACACTTTTTAAATAATACGCACTCAATAACACGCACTCAATAACACGCACTCATCAGTTTTGTCCACACGCACTCACAGCTGCCACATTCATCTAATGCTACCATTCTCAGATTACTCTAGATTATAACTCGTTGTTTTAGTGATTCTTACTATGTGACGATGTTCCACTGATGATAGCCACACGAAAACGTTCTGGAATTGTTTCATTTTAATTGTTTATACATGGTTATGAGTGCACAATTGATATTTTTCATTGCTATTTTACGACTGTTGTCTCCTCGTCGGTTATTTAAATACTTTAAATGGAGATACACTCGCGATCAGACTGAATGTCTGAATAATGTGCTTCGCAACCGTTTTGTTTGTAGGTGCATTGCGTTTAACGTTGCTTTTCTCAAACAATGCTTGGAGTTCGGCATCTGTCCTGGCGCAATCCAGAAGAGGGTACAGCGGGCTAAAGCGTACCAGTCCCTTTCAATTGAAAGGGACTTTCATCATGGGATGACATTGCGAGATCCATGGATACAATTGACAAAACACGAACTGCGTTTAAACACCTCTAGCGCCAGGCGCGGGACTTCCTGTCACAACATGACTTTCTTCGTTTCTCCATGCTTATCTCGTAGAATGATGATAGGCTACATACTCGAGTAGTCACCAAATACGATCAGAACATGAAGTGGCTTCGGAAGAAGCGCTTTGACTCCATCATCATTGATACCAGCACAATAATTAACATGACGAACATTCCACTTACGACTGTTCAAAAGAAGCTACTATCTAGAGGCGTAGATTTCGGCATACCACCAACATCAAACATGAGAGAGCGAGTACTATGTGATTTTGAATTATTCTGTCGAAAATTGGGTGGTTTTTCACCGGTATCGGAATCAAAGAAAATGGTGTGTACGGCTACATTGCGTGCTACAGCCGAGGAACATGCTGACAAACCCGCTGAACGGAGAACAGTTTCACTATCCCGCGAACACATGAAAGCTCGTTCAGAGCTGAAAAAGAACAATGATATCATCATCACTCGGCCAGACAAAGGTCGGGCAACAGTTATCTTAACGCGAATGGAGTATAATACAAAATGGCTACCATACTGGACGACGGGTCTAAATTTGTGAAACTCGGTCCGGTTTCAACATATGATAGAACATTGGCTCGGGAGAAGGAACTAGTAACCTATCTGAAGAAACTCCGAGCAGCAAAGGACATAACAGAATCCGAGTTTTTCCAAATCAAGCCTATCGGTTCGGTACATCCGCGCATGTACGGCCTCCCCAAGATACTTAAACCATCCTGCCCGCTTAGACCCATACTCTCCATGATAGGATCGCCCCAATACGCCATATCCAAGTGGCTCTGTGGCATGATACAACCGGTATTAAAACAATAGGAGGACAGAGAAAGTGTTTTTACTCCGACTTTCACGCACTAAGCGATCATCAGAAAACAGTAATGAGAAATCTGGATCAGTATTGGTTTATATACTCACAAAGCAAAGTGTAAATAGCTGCAGCATGGCGCAAATCTAAAAGTTGTGAATGGCGGCAGTGCAAAGCGTGAATGACTGCATCATGAGGCAAATCCAAAAGTAAAAGTGTGAATGACAGCAGTGGTGAAAGGTGACAACCACTGGAGCCGGTTGTCTCTTACTTAATTAGGTGATGGCTGTAGATGGTTTAAAGTTCCGAAGGTAGTACCTATTCTCATGGTGACACTTCGACACAAGCTCACTCCTTTTGTTGAGAGAGAGGTGCTTGGGTGCTTGCGCGATTGCCAATTTTTATGCCAGGCACAGGTTGCACCTTTTGCTTTTGTTGCTGTAGGCCGCTGCTCTGCGGTGTACCGCCCATTGAATGCTGCATGCCTTCCCTTCATCCTTTTTGGTCCAGAAGTACTGCGATAGGCGGGTGTCCTTCTCGTGTTGTCTGTGGCGGAATGAGGATTGGTGGCTATAGTAGCGTTGTTTGAACTCTCTTGGACAGCCTGGAACCTCTCTGTTTTACAGCCGGTATTAGAGTATTATTGTAAACACAACGTTAAGGGCACGTTTGAATTCGTTGAAATCCTTTTTGACAACCCTATCCCACCTACAGCCCACATGTGCTCTTTCGATGACTGTTGTAAGCTTGTTTACAAACGTACCACTAGATGACACAATAGATATCTGCGCGCGAAGACTATACCACAATGATGATGACATTGATCTTCCATGGTTACCAGAGACAGGATTTCGACGTTTGATGTTGATGGTGACAAGTGGCGTAGAGTTCTCGTTTGGTGATGTTATGTTTAAGCAGACGGATGGTGTGGCTATGGGGTCTCCGTTGGGCCCGGTACTGGCAAATGTCTTCGTTGGATACTGCGAATCGAGAATAGATAAAATAAAGTGGCCTCAGTTGTACGTTCGATTTGTGGACGACTCATTTACCTATTTTGAATCAAGATGTGACAGTGAAGCCTTTCTAGATGAGTTGAATGATGTCCACCCTGCACTACGCTTCACATGCGAACACGAGGATTGCAACAAATTGTCGTTTTTAGATGTACTCGTGGAAAAGACATGAAAAGACATGTTAGGGTGTTGTGACATCGGTGTATCGTAAGCCTACATTTACTGGTCAGTTTTTAGATGTACTCGTGGAAAAGAGATGAAAGACATGTGAGGGTGTTGTGACATCGGTGTATCGTAAGCCTACATTTACTGGTCAGTATATTTATGTACGATTCATATTGCTTCGCAATACAAGACCAATCTAGTCCGAAACTTAGCTGACAGGGCAAGACGCATTTGCTCCAAGAGTAAATTGCAAGCGGAACTTGATTTCCTTCGCTCTGTCTTTCTTAAGAACGGATATCCATCATCACTGTTAGCGAAACTACTCAGAACAATGCTCCCCGTAAGGAACTGACAATCGGCCCGGCTCCTTGTCGTGTCTTCCTGTGCCTGCCTTGGAAAGGCGCGGAGTCGACAAAGGTCAGTCGTATTGTCAAGTCTATTGTCCAGAAGACGTACTATGCAGTGAATATAGTAACTGTCTTCACCACGATACGTTCGTTCACAATGTTGAAGCACGTCCTGCCGACCCATCATTTGAGTCACCTCATTTATCATTTTGAATGCCGACAGTGCGGTAGTCGGTATGTTGGCAGGACGCTTCAACACTTGTCCGAACGTATCAAACAACACATCCCATTGTCTTTGTTGTAAAAAGCGGCCAGGGCAGACAGGCCAAAGCGTGGGAGGCCACGAAAACACCCGTTGCCTACTACTACGCCTGTCAATATTACAACACAACCAGGAACGGATACAACACCGCGCAACACATGAATCTGGTGTCACTCTTGACGACAACACCACGGCATGGGAGACCGCCGGACGATCGTTCGGTAACAAACCCGACGGCGGTAACGGAAAGATCACCAGAAAAACGAAACGAAAATGGAGGAAAAACGGATCTGAGGAGAAGCCAGAGACTAGCGGAGGCACGACTGAGAAAAGTGAGAAGGCGGAACCAGGAGCGGCAGGTGAAAGTACGGGCACAGCAGTGAACGCGTCAAGGAGAAAGAAGCGGTGGCATGAGGAGATGGAGATGGAGGATGATGATGGGGATGAACAGGATGGTCAAGAGGACAGCAAGGGTGAGCAGGATCAGGAAGTGGAGGATGAGAGTGATACTGACGAGGAGGAGTTCGACATCGACAAGAGCAAGTCTGCCATCTACAAGCATTTGGTGTCCAGTCCGGATTGTCGTAAGTTGTATGACGATTCCTGGTTTAGTGTTATTGTTTGCGCACGTTTCTTTAAGCAGTTGCAGGTGTTGGAAGCTGTATATATTTGCACACGTGATCCTGTGGTATGCAAGCAAAAAGAAAATGTTGTAGCACTCACACTTTTTAAATAATACGCACTCACCAGTTTTGTCCACACGCACTCACAGCTGCCACATTCATCTACTGCTACCATTCTCAGATACACTGCAAAGGTTCACACTACACTCGTTATGCATAACCGCTAGCAGTGCTGCACTCTCACGCTTCTTTTCATATTACTCCAGCTACCGTACTGGCAATATATGTTGCTGCGTAACGCGTAACGCAGGGGTGCGGCGTAACGCTCGACCAGGCTAGTGTGACAAATTTTCGTTGCGTTCGTAACGCGCGTCCGGCGGGGTGCGGCGATCTTTTCATTGCAAAAAAGGCTGAAAACTGTGAAAGCACGTGTACCGCGTGGTGAAAAGTTCAAAACTGGACGCAGCAGTAAGAAACCTGTGTAACGGCTCCTGTGCGACTTTGCATGTAACGCCCTGCGTGCGGTAAACATGTGCCAATGTAACGCTTCTTGGCCCCACTGCGACCATATATATTGCCAGTACGGTGTATAACTGGTTGTTTTAGTGATTCTTACTATGTGACGATGTTCAACTGATGATAGTCACACGAAAACGTTCTGGAATTGTTTCATTTTAATTGTTTATACATGGTTATGAGTGCACAATTGATATTTTTCATTGCTATCACATTTCGTTAAATTACTTTCTTACTTTTTAGACGGGGTCCATGGACTAGAACACAAAAACTTTTTTTAGAAAACTGCCATAAAGCAGTTTTTATTGCTATAATAGCACATGTATCTACACATTTACTACGTCCAAGGCTGACCCAGAGTGGAAATCAGTGAAGCTCTTGGGCTCTTTACTAGGGTCAGCTGAGGACGTGGACTCTAGAATAAATGCAGCGAACCGTGCTTTCGGTTCCATTGCTTGGGATTGTCACAGTATTGAATCTCGTTTATGTATGTGTAAAGTTCTGATTTTGCCTGTACTCTTGTAAAACTGTGGTCTCTGGACACTAACGAAGAAGCTAGAGGATCGACTGGATGCATGGCATCGTCGCAAGCTCCGATACAATTATTATGAACATTGTCCACCCTCACCACATTTCCAACAAAAAGATTTACCGAAAGACCAACCAAGCCCCGATTTCGAAAA